GAAAAGTTAGTGGGATGGTACATAAGTGAATATGTATGAGAAGATATTAGGTAGAGTATAAATTGAGTAAGGGTAATGGTACACAGATAGAGGTTAGTTCAGTATATGTATGGGCATAGGGTGTGTGAGCATGGGTAGATAATTTTTAGTTAGTAGGGGTTAGCTATCTCTAGGTGTAAAGTAAAGCGGAGAATAAATCTCTAATTAGTGAATGAATATGTTCTAGTTAGTTTACCACAGAGGTGACTTTATCGTGCTATATAGGTTCGATTCCAAGATAGCACATGATTTATCGGAGATCTCTATCCCTATCGGCAATCGGGGAAGGGGTCCCTGTCATCAGACTAGTAGGGTATAAACTAGTAATCATAGACATATTCCTCTTATTTGTGGGTAACTATGTATATCTATTTAATATGGGTAGAGGTGATAAATGAATATGTAGTCTAGTTTTATAAGCTGAGGATTATAAAGAATAGCTAATAGAAGGTATTGTCAACATCCTGTGTGATAGGTAGCTGCACATAGTCTCAGATATCCTATGGGTTCAATTGCATTTACTATTTGACAACTTCTTCGAGACGCCATTCACTTTTACAACTTACTTTTTGAGTTCAATGTGTGCCTGTGCACTTCTAGTCTTCCATCCCTACGGGGGGTCATTTATATTTTTATAGTTATTTACAATCGTAGATCCGATGGATGGTAGGTCCCGGAGGGACCAAGCATGAAGGAGGGTCCCACCCTCCCCCATGCCCATGGTAGCTACCCTAAAAAAAGCTTTGCCGAGGGAATTTCAACCTCGATCTAAATGTTAGTATGAGGTACTCCGAAGGAGAGCGTGTAGGTGTATACCTAGGAGGGTCGTGAAGGGTCCCTAAAACTACGGACCCTCCTACAGCCCCTTACGGGGATCACCACCCCGCTCTCCACGATCGAAGATGCCTTTAGGAGGGTCTCCCCTTATGACCCTCCACGATCCGGGCGTATAGCATAGGTCTATCACCCGGGGTAGAGTGGTGGAGTGCAAAGCCTGTATACCTATCGTAGATGTAGGAGGGTCCCACCCTCCACCATGGTAGAGTGCAAAGAGGGCTAGCTTGCTCCTACGGAAGCCCTCCTAGGTATACACCTACACGCCCTCTGCCTCCTTCGGGAGTAGCACCCCCGCTACGCGGGCCTAGGGATGACAGAGGGTCGTAAAAAAGATAAAATAATTATATTTTAGATCTTTCACTTGAACTTAAAAAAGTTATTGGTGGCCGAGCGATAAATAGAAAGTTTAGAGTAAGTCTCTATTAAAACTTTATTTTTATAAACTAATAACGTTAAATTTTTATAATCCACTAGAAAATCTTTAGGGAGTATCAACCATTCAATAATTTTTAATTTTAATTGAGGTAAACCATTTTTATAGTGGGGAATAGTTTCTTTTCATCTTTTTATTTTTCAGGGCTGTTTTTTAGGTACTCATCACCTAGTATCTAATCTTTTTCATAATCTTTTATTATAGTTTCAAGACATTGATGAAAAAAGAGTTATTGATTCTTTTACTTTTCTTAATGATCTTAGGTCCCTTCTTGCCCTTATTATATCACCTTTAGTTACTCTATAGCCACTTTTATTGATGTCTGAGGGGGAGCTATAGGAGTATATAGCCCCGTACCCATGATCTCCCGTAGGGTAGCCATGGATACTAAGATTGGTTGGACGTTTGCAGTCCCTACGGGCAATTTCTAAAGAGCCTTCAGCTATTAACTTTTTACTTTTGTGAATTGAAGAAGTAAAATGACTTCTAAATAATATTACATCTAAACTTTTTTCACAAATCATTAAAAGGGGTACTCTATTCTTTAGGGCTAATTTTACATTCTGTTTAAAAGCTGATTCTCTCAATCTACCTAGAAATCATTTGGCTTCTTTTTTAGTACTATTATTTCTTCTTCAAGCAGATGTTCTCCTTTTCTGCTCTTTTCTATTGATTTTCCTTCCATCAACCTCCTTGGTCTTGGGGGATTTAGATCTGCCTCGGGGAGGTCGTTCCTGGATAAAGATCTTATTATTTAAGAGTTGCATTGACTTAAAACCTCATGATGCCGATAAAAAGACTTTACCAAATTTCCGTCTTATAATTTTTACCTTTTTACCGAGAATCCACGGAATTAAACTTATATTCCTTTTTTTCATCGGTCTTCTTCTCTTATTTGATTTTTTACTATAGATAGTTTTTCTAATTCTTGTCATATTTTAGTATTACATTATAAAACCATGTCCAAAGGGGGCCCCTCTGCCTCAGAGGGGGCTGGCCTTTGGGCGGTAGAGCCTGAGGGTGAGGGTCACCCGAGATATAGTTTTTGGATTAAAAGACTACAAATAGTCAATTCTCAAGTAGTAAATAGGATAGTAGTTAATAAGACTAATGAAAAGATATCCGGTGGTGTTAATAAACTAGTTAAAATTAGTAAAGTTAATAGCAACATCGGTCTAGATAAATATTTACCTGACTGAATTGGATCCGCTCCACAAAGTCAATAGATAATGGTATAAATGAATGGTAATAGTGAGGTAAAAAAGAAAATTCAAATAGAAGTTAAAGTAAGATCCAAAAATTCATTTATTTTAGGCTCAAAGTGAAGTTCTACTGATTCATAGCTTATGAAGAAATTCACGAGAAAAGGTAGAAAATAATTTCAATTCGAATATTCAGCAACGATGTATCCCAGAAGATAGAAAAAAGTAGCTCTTTTTCATTTTTTATATTCAGAAAAATATAAGCCACTTTTAGTAAAATCTAAAATACTAGAAAGTCCAATTGGCAAGATAGCTAAATTACTTACTATTAGCCCCAATCGTATATAACTATTTAATCCTTCTGTTAAACTAGTGAATATTGCAGCATGTCTCTGTCTCCCCTCAAATGGGGCGGGGACATCGTGATGGCTCTCGGCCACCCTGTCGGGGTGCTCATAGCTATATAAGAGCCACTTGGAGCCCCCTGTCGTAGAGAGGGCATCGCTCACGCGCTCGCAGGCTGGTGGCCGACCTGCGGGCAATGGCTCAAGTGCAAAATTTAAAAGAGCTTCCCCATAAAATAAAGAAATAGTAAAAATAGCTAGTCATCCTATTAAGATATATAGTAATCTATATTTTAGTTCTTTTATATGACTTTTTATTATCATGCTGTGCCCGGGACATCCCTCTCTCTAGAAAGAGGGGTACCGAAGGTGCCTGTAGGAGGGTCCCGAGACCCTCCACCACTCGAGGGCTCT